GGCCGCCTAGTAACGACCCCGACCACTGCCGCTCGACCTGACCGGAAAAAACCGTAGCAGGAAGCTAGCGAAGTCGTAGTATATATCGTCACAAAAACAGTTTGTCACAGCCCCTCGTTTGTTGTCCTCTTCTCTCTCTCTGCCTACGGTTTATCGTCATATATCTATACGATAAATATATATGTAAATGAATTAATATTTATTTCAAGTTTTATAAAAAAAAGGATCCTTGGTTGATCTTGAGGATCGACCCGACAAACGTCACAGGGTTGGGTTCATTTGGCAGTTTGATTACAAGATCGAGTGCATAGCCGGTCTTGGGAATAGGGCCGATGGCTTGAGCAGGGTTTGCATCACACCGGAGGGAGTAGAGGACACAAAACCTATCGATGCGTTCCTCAACTATGAGGGAGGGACCCTTGTGGTAGACAAAAAGATGGTAGAGTCTGCCTACACACCCGGGGAACTGTTGATTAAGGCATTGGAGAAAGGGTCTCCCGCAGTAGTGGCAAAAGTCAAGGAAGGCGCAGTCACAAGGACCGACCGTAAGGAGGAGAATGACTCATGGGGTGACATTGTGGGGCCTCAGGAAGAGTTGATGGCAATGGCCGTAGAAGGCGGACGGGAAGCGGTTATGAGTTTGGTTGAGTCATGGGAACAGAAGCGGCAACAGTACTTAGTAAACCAAGAGCAGCGTACGACCCGGGTTTTTGAACCCTTGAGACCCACGCGAGTGCTTGGACCAGGACACCTGGTTCATCTCGATCTCGTGGTCATGCCTGTATCCGCGAAAGGATACCGATATATACTTGACGCTAGAGATAATCTTAGTGGGTTTGTGGAAGCAGTAGCCCTTAACAAGAAAATCGGATCGATATTGGTAGATTGGATCGAGGACTTCTACTTGAGGCACCCTTTCATCAGAAGATTCATAGCTGATAATGGGACAGAGTTCGTAAATCAAGACGTGTTGAGCACATGCAAAAGACTTGGGGTGCCCATTAAGCTAATTGAACCATACCACCCAGAGGCTAATGCGCCCGTGGAGAGAGGGCATCAAACACTAAAGAACACGATCGCGAAGTTAGCAGTTGATGATCTTGGGAACTGGCCTAAGTATCTCAAGCAGGCCGTTTTCGCAGAGAACACGACTCCAAAAAGGACTACAGGATGTATTCCAGCCGAGTTATGGTACGGGAGGGAAATTGACTTCCCAGTGGAAGCCTTAGTACCGACTTGGAATAGGTTGGATGATGACCCGCGCTTGACGACGGAACCAGGTGAAAGACAAGGCAAGGTGGGATCAACTGAAGAACATCAGGAAAGAACCACTACAGGTGGGGGAAATGGTCCTAGTCAGGAATTTGGCACTAAAGAGCACTTGGTCGGGACAGCTGGGAAAAAGGTTCAAGGGCCCCTACCGGGTCACCAAGAGGCTGGGGATGAACACTTTTGAGTTGGAACGTTTGGATGGGACCAGGGTGAAAGGACCATTTACAGGATAACGGCTGGTCAGATTTCTAAGTCGGGATCCAGTGGAACATTGTTTGCAAGAGGCTCAGGACATGGAAACTGGGGATCAGGCCGGCTGAGACACCAACAGGAATCTTACCTATGATGTATTTTGTCTTTTCTTGGGATGGGTTTTTTACTGTGCTTATGGGGGTGGATTGCATGGGTCGAGTAATACGGTTGGGATGCTTGGGCCATTGTACCATAGTTTTTGTGAGGGATGAATGATATTGGGATGAACGCTTGGGCATTGTACCATAGTTTTTTTGAGGGATGAATGATATTGGGATGAACGCCTGGGGCATTGTACCATAGTTTTGTGAGGGATGGATGGTATCGGGATGGTCGCCCGGGGCAATGTATCATAGCCTTTGAAAAAGATGGATGGGATTCGAGTAGGAAACGCGGAATGATCCATTTCATGGTTGAGCACGAAGGGAACTGGGTAGAGGGGTGCATCCTTGGAAACCGGGGGAACGCTGCCACCTTAAAGGAAATGGGATTTGCTTTTGCTACTGCTTGGACGGGGCTCCACCTTGGGGATATGGACTGGGGCTTCTGTTTTCCTTGTGATGAGAAACGGGAAATTCAAGACAAGATGGAGCCCCTCAACAAGAACGACATGAACTGCGCTAATGTAGCCTTTGAAGATGAATGGCAAAGGCCGGAGAGACCACGAGATAGACAGAGGCCGGTACTATTTATTGGGCCACAACTAAGACAGACGCTAGGGAGAAGAAAGAGAAAATTGTTGGCCAGCAAACCCTTGCCCCTTAAGGAAGGCGAGAAATTGTAGCCCTTGTCTAAGGAGGAAACAAAGGAGCAAAGACAGGAGGAGAGAAGAGACGAAGGAAGGCGAGGTATGAGTGACAATTGTGAGAGAAGGGAGGAAGGGAGACAAAGTATGCAAGGCAGTTGTGAAAGAAGGGATGAGGAAAGAGAAAGTGTGCATCACGATTGTGAGAGAAGTGAGGAAACCGAACGAAGCGGGCATGTCAGTTGTGAGAGGAGGTATACGGGTTTTTGGGAAGGACACGAAAGGAGGGCGGATATCCCCTATAACTTGAACCTTGAGAACTTTACCCGTGAGTTCAGCCCCGTACGAAAGGACGAGAATGAGAGTGAAGATGAGGGGCAAGACGTCATTGCAATTAGCAGTGGGGATGAGATGGATGAAATCACAAGCCTAGAGAGGAAGGGCATCCTTCGACAAGTAGCCCAAAGGAAGGACCCGCTAAGTGGGAAGAGGAGTTTGGACCAACACCCAGTCATTGGTTTGAACAATGGATCAGTGTGACTAAACATGACTGGATTAGTAAGACCTGGGAACGAATGAAGGCCAGAGTGGCAGTTACACCCTTGGACTTCTACAATGAGGTGGAGTTGCAAGAAATTGCGAGAAAAAAAGAGGGAAATCCTGGCCTCCGGGCTGGGAGCTGAAGGGCCAGCAGAAAGCAGTAACAAACGGGCGCCCAAACGACAAAGAATTGATGACAATGGGAGAGACTAGGCATGGGGCACATTTTGACAAAGTTTGTAGCAATATGCGAAGCAAAGCTTGGCCAGTATGGATAAGATCGTTGATAAGGACTAGTCAAGATTTAGCATGGATGAGCAAGGAAATAGTTTTTGAACCACTTTTTCGGATATGCTACCTTGAAAAGATTTTGTGCGAGAAGCATTGGCAAGGGACATGGGTACGAGACTAGTTGGGCTGGTTGAATTGTGAACTTTGGACAAGACAAAGGATTGTATTTGGAATGGAGACTATGAATATCGGATCGATTGAGCAAGCAAAAGCACTGAGTGTCAGTCAAGTACAAGAGAGGTTAGGGACCTATGGGTAGAGCAGCATGAGGATGCCCTCCCTTAGGAGCCTAATCCAACCAAGTCAAAGTCGTGTCGCAAGGGACAAAGTTGTGAGAGTAAGCAAGAGTGAAAAGGACAAAAGGACCCCGCGTTTGGATCTATGGTTGAACAGTAGGGCGGGCTAGCACTGCCTGAGGTTGAAAGCCTCCGCTTGAGTGCTAGACGCTAAGTCGGGTGTATGCAGGAGGATATCGGAACCAGCAACTCTATTGAGAAAAGTATGAAAGATGCCACACGCAGAAAATTGTAAAGATGGCCACCTTCCAACCCCCCTAGTAAAAGATGGGATCCGTGTCCTCAAGGCCCACCCCCTCGGGCGCTAGCATTGAGAACGGAAAGGAATGACCCTAACTAGGCTGTTCGACTTATGATGGAAAGGAACGACCCTAACCAGGCTGTTCAACTTGAGAATGGAAAAGAATGACCCTAACCAAGCTGTTCGACTTGAGAATGGAAAAGAATGACCCTAACCAGGTTAGTCGACTTGAAATAGCAAAATGGCCCCTGATAAGGGTCATTTTTTAAACGGGCATTGGGGTCCCCTTGCATGACTACTTGAGAAAGGCTGATTGAGAATGAGCTGGAATGAGTAATGTGAATGAAAAAGGCTGGTGGGACGGTCATTGAAATAGCCATGAGAAAGGTTGAAAAAGATGGATGTAAATGGAAAAGGCTGGTGGGTCGATCATTGAAATAGTCATGAGAAAGGTTGAAACAGATAGATGTGAATGGAACACGCCGGTGGGTCGGTCATTGAAATAGCCATGAGAAAAGTTGAAAGAAATGGATGTGAATGGAAAAGGTCGTTGGGACGGTCGCAAGAAACAGCCTCGAGAGAGGAAGTGAGAAGGATGTGGACTGCAAAGACCGTTAGGACGATCATAAAAAAAGACTATCGAAAAGATGAAGATTGAGGATTGAGGATGGACCGATGGGTCGGTCATGAGAAGTGACCCTATTAAAAAGAGGTCGCCGGATTACTCATAAGAAGTGGCTTTATTGAAAAGAGGTTGTCGGATCAGCCATGAGAATCAACCTTGAGAAAGAGATGGAAAAAAACATTGAAGTGAGTGTTTTCCTGCGACGTCGCCGGAGAAAGAGAAAGAGATGGAAATTGCATTGCATAAATAGGGGACCGTAGGCAAATTGAAAAGACGTCGCCGGATCGACCATGGAAATAGCAAGAGACTGAGTCTTCCTCCTAGTCTCAGGTCTCAGCACGAGGGGGATATTGGTGCCTGCACCGTGACCCCGGGACCTCTACCACATAGGGAAATGTCCAAGCACGACCTGTTCCTCGTAAGTAGGACACCAGGTTAAGGGATCAAGGTATCGTATACGATACTCGACATCCGGAACCAGCTCCGACAACGAGCTCTAGCCGAAGGGTTCAAATTACGCCTCACGTTGAGTTCCTAAAACCTCCAGGGCGCCAAGATGGGCCGATAGTTTGCTCCTAAGTCTTTATGACCCTCTCCAACCACACGCCACGCCGTTGAGGGGCGGCCTGGCCGTTTGGGATGGACCTAGGCTGCTCGCATTAAGTCACCTTGTGGTGGTGGTGGCAATGCCTTGTGGTGGTGGCGGACTCCACCCGATACCTCGCCAAGATGGGCCGATAGTTCGCTCGTCCACGGGGAAGGTCGGGGCGAGGTATCGGGTGGAGTCCGCCACCACCACAAGGCATTGCCACCACCCTGCCAAAACATTACAACCGTTCCGGGGACTAACCGCGAGGTTTTCGTAACTGCACTCGCAAACTAAATGAAAGCCCCAACGCTCTTGAGAAGGAAGATGCCGGATCCATAAAACTTACCACTCGAGAGGAACGATTCGCGAGGGAGCCACTCGTGGTACGACGGGTTCCTGGGAGACATGGACTGAACCTGCCTGTCGGATACGAGGAGAAACCTCAATGATGACGCCCGTCTCCAAAGGAGTGGCCGCCGAACTAAGTGGAGGATGGGGTGAGTTATCAGCAGGGGGAGGACTGATCACCCTTCCTTTTAGGAGCCCTGGCAAGCTAACTTCCTATCGTATCTCACCCCCTAGCCCTTATCTACCTTTCCCCAAGCCATTTCCCCTACTAACTACTGACTGGTGCACAATAAGGACATCGCGAATGAGGGGGGTGAATGTGTCGGGACCCGCGGGTCCCGAAACAAGTCCCGACCCTTGAGAGATGGTATACGGCAGGATTGTGCACAACACAAAAACAGGAGGAAAGAGAGATAGGAAAGGATGGAAGGCTAAGGCATAAGGGTCAGCGCCTAGGGGCCTAGAGAATGCCCTGGGCCGCCGGAATCACTGGACCAAGAAGAAATTAGTAGAATTGTCAGTGGCAAAGGGTCGCAAGAAAATAATAAAGACGGCCCTTCTTCCAGAAAGAAGGACCGCCAGGAAAAATAATGCCCTGAGCTGCGCGCCGAAGGGAGAAGAGTCAAGGAGGTCGAGAAAATAATGATGGGGCACCGACACATGAGAACGCAGCACGAGGCCAAGGAGGCCACCAGCATGAGGCATAAGAAGGGTCGAGGGGCCATGAGCCAAGTAAAGAGTCGCGGTCGGGAAAGCCGACACGCGTGGGACATGGGAAGGGACTAGAAATGGGGCAGCCATGGGGAGGAAAGTGCCAAGGGAAGTTGGGACACCGCAAGGAAAAGTGACGGGGACCATAGGGGACTAAGTAATAAAAATGGCAGTTTGGGGCTAAGTACCGGTGGGACCACCGACGGGACAAGTGTCGGGGACTAGCGCGAGACAAGTGTCGAGGACTAGCGCGGGACAAGTGGCAAGAACTCTCCTAAGACAAAGTTATGAAGGGCCATAAGAGAAGGATGCCCAAAGCAAGACGTGTCGTCAAGATCAAGCTCTAGACAACCAAGAATATTAGCACCACCAGTGCAAGCATTAATGGAGGTAAACGAGAGGACCAAATCAGAAAGGAAAGCAAAAGAAAAGCAAGGGAAGAGGCATGGCAGCAATCCGAAATATCTTGGACTAGCCACCTTGAGGGAAATGTAGCCTAGAGAGGCTCCATGTGAAAAATAGGCTCCCGATCGAAAATCGGAGCAAAAGGGGCCACAGTTTGGAAGAAAGGAAGGCAAAAGGAGCCCCCCATGGGCATGGGGGAGCCTCAATTGCAGTTCGAGAAACAACGGACC